CTTCATATTGATATAATTTTAAAATAAAATAGAAAAACAAAACTATATTGTGACCATTAGATGATGTTAGGTTTCCCATCACGCGTCTACATGATATGATGCTAAAAGCATAACAAAATCGAATGAAACTTTGTTCTCTATTTTTTGGGTGGTGACACGTGAGCCATGCCAATTGTCTTTTGTTTTTATTCGAAGAGAAAAGTTGGTGGTCCCACATGATTTTCACAAGCGTGTGAAATTGGAGGTGTGAACATTTTGCATGGAATTCTTTTTTGCATGAGAGTGTAATTCGAGTGCGATAGCTTAAGTGGAAAGTCAGACTGCAAGTCAGGAAATTAAGCAATTTTATTTCTCGTGTTAAAGTAAGTAGAAATTAATTGTCAAAAATAATAATGATAAGTAAAAGTTTTATTACTAAGAGTTTGATATTTCTTAATTATCAGTGTGGTTGGCTACATAAATCCTGGTATGTCATTTTGCTTTTATAAGGGTTATACCTTTAGGGAAAGGGATTGTGTTCGTGGTGGTCGCACCCAACACCCTAGTCACCATGTTGTGGTTTCTATTTACATTGACTCCACCCCACTAACACTTTAAAAAAGCTAACTCTTAAACTATTCGAGAAAACGGGAAATGACTTGTCTTGTCCACTGACAAAAGAATAAGGTCACAAGTCCCTATATTTTTTCTCATTACTTCCAATCAGATCTTAATAGAGCAAGTTTTCTATATTTCTCTGAAGTATAGAAGTTATATACTTCTCTTTGTCTAGCTGTCAAATATGAATTAACGGCTAAAATGGAACCAATTACAAAATAATTTGACACCAAATTTTGGGTGTCGACTCCATTCTTAAATTCATAACTGCAAAAAATTTAAAGCAAATATTTATGATAAAGTTAAATAACCAAAATACCCTTGAAATTGTTAGGGGTATTTTGGGTATTTTATTTTGGTAGAAATATTGTTTTTTTATTTTTTATAGGTGTGCCCCGCAACGATGATAGCACGTACCAAATTTTACATTCGTATAATTTGTAAAAAAAAAAACTAATAATCTGAGACGTCGGATCTAGATCAAATAGTCAATGACTTATTTGATTTAAATTGGGTGGCTGGTTGGAGGGAAGTATAGAGCTTCTATATAATAGGGGAAGTACGGTCTTAATAATATCTCAAAATAGGGTGTGGTTTGTATAGGGTTGAGGAACTAACCAATCAAAGTTAAGGTGTACCTTCAAGTAGTGCCAAAATATGTTGTTTCAATATCATAAGTCTTTGTGATGACCAAAAAAATTATTTTCATTTCTAATTATAAAATTTAAAGATTAAAAAATAGTATAGATTGAGCATACCTATAAACACTTGAAAATCTTGAAAATTGAAGGTCTAGTTAATACATCACAAGATGAACTATTTCTAAAACTTGAAATCTATTTATTCTCATATCCATATATCATAAGGTCGAGATGATCAAATTAAAAATTTTGATCATTGAAACAACATCTTCTAGTGAGTTTTGAGGTGCTCGTTAATTTGATTGTTTGGGGCCTCACCCTTATATAAACATTTATCTTAAACCACCTAGTTCAACCATTCTAACCGGGCAAGTCCAGGGCCAAATGGTTTTCTTGGCTGGCTACTCACTATCGCCTCCTTACCTTCTCTCTTTTGCAGCAAAGAGGGATCTCTACAGATTATGTGTGCCCGTTTTGTAAATTTAATGACAATAATATTTTCCATATTCTTTTCAGTTGTATTTTCTCGTAGGGTATTTGGAGATCGGTAGCATGGAAATGTGGCAAAAGACATATCTAAATCACATCGATTGTATCCATGCTCATATTCTGGATTGCTTTCAAATTCAAATCAGAAGGCTTACTGAATGTTTGGCATTCCTTATTCTTAACCACAGTCTGGATGTTATGGGAGGAACAAAACTATCAACTTTTTCAGGGGAAGGAATCCAAATGGGAACACTTGCTTAGGATAATCATATCACATATTAGAGAGATGGCGGATGCTAAGGCTTGGTCCTTCCACCTTTCAGAGAAAGCAATCGTTGATAACCTATTGATTACATGGCAACAACAAAAAATCAAGCACCCCATCCCCATAGCACGGTCTTGTCCTCGTCCAAACCACTTCAAATTGAATGTCGATGGTGCTTCATTTCAAAACCGTGGGTTGCAGGTGGAGGAGGCATTATTAGAGGAGAAGATGGTTCTTTCATTGTAGCATTTGGTAACCCCTTTGGGGTAGCATCAAATATTATGTAAAGTTTCATGCTTTACAAGCAGGTATTGATTTGGCTATCCAGCTCAATTGTTTCCCCTTATAGATTGGGAGTGACTTCTCATTGTCGGTCAATGTAATCCACGATCAATGCAAAGCTCAATGAGTGATCAATGTTGTTGCTGCTAACTGCTGATACAAGTTTTCTAGTCGTGATTGGTCCCTAGCCCATATCTATCATGAGGCCAACATGATGGCTACCTTACTTGCTAAGAAAGCCACAACTTTCACAAAGGCAACTGTTTGGAGATCTAGACCACCGGATTTATTTTCTCTTGTTGTACTTCATAGTTTGGCACAATTGCCCTATTATAAGGTTGTAAAATTATGTCTGCTCTTTTTCTTATCATTAATAAAATTCGGGTTGGGAGCTTCTCCCTCACTAACTTACCCAAAAAAAGAGGTCATGGGCAGTCAAAAAAGTGCTAAAAATATATATAAAAAATAAATTATAAAAATACATTTAAAGAATGATTAAAAAAATCACTTCCAATTGAAATTGAAATTTAATGAAAAAAATAAATTTTAAAGAATCAATTTGTGCTCAGGGGTATTTTTGAATTTTTTTAAAAAGATGAGAAAAATATAAAAATAAGTATTAAAGGCCAAAACAATTTCCAATTTTTGCTATAATGATGAAAAACATTAAAAATACTTTACAAACAAAATCCCTTATTTTTTGTGACTCTATATTATTATTATTTTGTTTTTAAAATACTCGATCGGTCACCAAAACCGGCCGAGATCGGAACCGGCCATAGCCGAGTCCGATCTAATAGGGCAGTGACTAGTTAGAACGGGCGATTTTTCCAACGAGGGCTCCACCTAAGAGTATAGGTCTGAGGAGCAATCTAACTTATTTAAAACAAAGACAAATATAGTTTATAAGAAATTAATGGAAAAAAGGTTTCAACAAAAAGTACACAAAAATATATATAGGTCACCACCTAGGTGTAGCTTTGGAATTAACAATTAATTAAAAAACTGAAAATTAAACGAAAAAAATATACAAAGAGAAATGTCAAAATCACTATTGTCCACCAGACTTTAAATTAGGTGGTTGTAAGTCAAAAAAAAATAAGGTCAGGGAGTTATTTGAAATATCTTATATTTAATTATAAATACAATTAACTAATTTCTAAAACCCATAACGATGTGTTATTTGAAGGGCTATTAGAAATTTGATAAAATGATGATGAACAAATTGATATTTCATCAAATTTTATGGGTGAGATGCTATGTAGTTGAACACTCGAATCTGAATTAATCAAATTTCATGTCCTTTAGGCCAAAAAGAAATTTAAGTAGCTTTACTAGCATCCGCCAAGGGTTCAGCTTACAGAAAAACAAATATTAATATCTCAAAATAAATCTTACCCCACAACAATATGTACCGTAAAGTTTGGAATACACCAATCTTCTAAAACATGGTTCAGTAGGGTGGATCACCCAACCATCATTCGTTTTTTTTAGATCAGCAATCCAGATGGGGCGTATCGGTCAAAAGTAAAATAAATTGAGAAAATAATAGAATTGGCATGGAATTGGGAGGGTGAAAAACCTGGATTGCCCACCCATCGATTTTGACATGAATTGGTGCTTTCTAATCCGTGTCTCTGTCCTTTAAAACACCGGTACATACGATCCAAGTTCATAAAGAACCATGTGTCACTGTTCTTTAAAACACCGGCACATACGATCCAAGTTCATCAAGAGCCATGAGATGACTTCATTCACAAGTTCCTAACAAGTGTCATCCCTATCATACATGTAAGAACATTGTTTGAAAACTCAAGACTTGTTAGGTGCCGATTTTTTTTAATTTTGAAGGTAATATAGAATTTTTTCAAACCGATTCCCCAAAGAACCAGTCCAATCCGGCCAGGATTGGCGATAAGGATTTGTCCAAGTGATGACAAATCTGGCAACCCGATATGGGTTTTAAATACTGATACAGCTTTCACATCTCTCTTTCTACCACTCATTGACCATTGGTGGTAGACTGCAGGTTTGAAAAGAAAGTAAGCGTCCCTGTATGGCCAGAAGCAGCTGGAGTGCTGGGCCTGGTGGCAACAAAGCGGCCAAAAGCTGCAAGAAACAGGCCCATCTATGTTGTGTGAGAGGGGAGAGAGGATGGCCAAAAACAGCCATTTTATTGTGTTAGAGAGAGAAAGAGAGTAATATCTCTTGAAACATTACTTTAATAAAAGTTCATAACATTTCTCAAAAAAGAGAGAGAACCGCAATATCATACAACTAGTTAGAGAGAGGATGGCAATATCACACAGCCAAGTGGAAATCATTAGGGTTGCTGGGAGCATACTATCTATTTGCTCCATAGGTAAAATCTAATGTAGGAGTTTTAGAATCCAAATTTTGGGAATATAATCTCTTCAACTCATAGAATAACATCAAAAAAGAAATTTCCAAATTACACCCTTAAAACAATATTTTTTTCTATATTTGTACATATCGAGGTTACGATGACTGATTGAAGAATTTTATGAGTGTCAAAACAATTTGTTTTGGTGGGTTTTTTAAGTTGATACCTTATATAAACTTTTTTTTAATAGATGGTGGTGACAGGTTGTTCAAAAATTGTGATAACAAACCTTCCAATGCTTGCTTTGTGAAATGCAAGGTATCTCATCCATCAAGGTCAATTTTTTCTCCACCCATGACAGATGTTAACATGCCATATATGGCCCAAGTAAAAAAAATATGGTGGTTATTGAAATCAATAACAATGGAGTCTCCTCAATATTCAAATCACAATCAGAATACAAACAAGAAAGGGAAGAAAACAGACGGCAGAGGACCGGTCCTATGGACCCTCAATGAATTAGAAAATATACTTTCACCTATCCTGCAATCTTGTAACTTGGGTTGACAAGATTATCAAGACCGGATACAACTTCCATGGACTCAATAACATCCCCAACCTTGAGATCTGCCAAAAAGTCTTGATTCTCAGTCACATACCCGAAAACTGTATATCTCCCGTCCAATATATTCGCGTTACTAGGAGTGAGTTCACTCTCTTTCAAAAGCCAAAAGATCTGACTAGAAGCAGAGTTATCCTCAAATTCCTGTCTCAAACAAGAGAACCAACAATCAGCATTAATCAACAGTACTTTTTATTGTTATCTAAACATTTTGAGTTAAGCCTCTTAAGGAAAAAGAATGATATGAGGTTTGGTATTGAGTCTTACATCTCTTGCCATGGCCATAGTTCCAAATGCATTAAAAGGAAGCTTGGTTTGAGCTTTGTATCGACCAAGTTCCTGGAAAAAGCCAAACTGAAATTAATTCCACCTGCCCAAGTTACTATTAAGAGTAGTTCTCGTCATGGCATGCATAGTGCTTATTACCTCTAATTTAACAAGAACCAAACTCAAATTATGTAATCCAGTTCCTACAAGAAGCTCAATCAAATGTTTTCTTCGATGCCAAAAGATGTTGTGCTACCGTGGGAGCACACTGTCCATTTACTACCTTGGATAAAGCCCAATCTAGGAGTGCTCTTTGGGCCCCAAATTTTGGGGATGTAACCTCTTCAACCCATAGATTTAACAACTCAATTATTAAAGAAAAATTCAAATCGCTCCCTATATGCTCGATAAAAGTAGCGTCTTAAGATTGAACAGAGAACATCCAATAGAGAACTTAAAATCCAATTTTTTATTTTTTCAAGATTATCACATAATGATTCTTAGGAGGATCCCAAAATTCCAGATAAAAAAATTACTCCCAAGTCTTCTGCCAGAGAGAGTAAATGTATAGTATGCTCTGATGGGAGCATAGCATACGCACTCTTCTTTGATCATGTAACTCAACTGAATTGAGTTTATATTCTGAGCGTGATTTCATATACAAATCAGATATGGATAAAACATTTTTTTGTTGTCTATAATAAAAAATAAGTTCAACAAGGCTTAGATATATCAACCAGAAAAGTGCATAATGCAAGAGCTCATGTTCTCGTGGCTCTATAAACCATACAGGAGCCCTTTTTATGAGTAGGTATATGGGAGCTTTCACAAAATCAGCATTCTGAAACTCGGCCAAGGTAACTCAAACTCAGCCGAGTAACTCGGCCTCGCCCTATGGACGAGGCAAGTTGTGGCCTATTGGTTGTACACCATTTTTTTTATTTAATTATATTAAAACCTCCAACCTAAATCAGATATGTAAAAATGTCTTTTTGGTTGTTACTTACACGTAAAGTTGAACCCGTTAGGGTTCCAATCCCGTTGCCAGCACTTTTTTTACATTGTACTTTTAAAACGTCCTCCTTTTTGGAGTTTAAAAAAAACTAACCTCCACGAGAGTGGATCCCTTGACCTCTCGTTAAGAGCAATTTATAGCAGAAACAACAACCAACACTTTTGCTATATATAACTTATTTTTATAATCATTTTCTTTAAAAAAAAGAGCTAGACTCAGGCGAGTTACTCGGATTCGCCAGAATAAATCGCCTTGGCCAGGGCACTAGTACCTTGGCTGAGTCGATTTTTTTAACTATGAGCAAAATGATCTTATAGGTACATAGTGGCTCCTAAAGTACAAAGATGCTGCTAGTTAAAATGGCAAAGGAGATGTACCTCTAATGTTGCACCATAGACAGGTGCTTTGTCCCCACTAACCATAAGTTCTAATGGTATTGTGCGGATCTTTTCTGTGCTAGGATCGATGAAACCTTCTGCTGGTCCCTCAGGATCACCAGTCTGCACTACAAAGCCATCCGCTGCACCCAATCCAAAAAGAATGTGAAAATGAGTAATTCAAAATGCAAGACTGGTCTTTATCTATTAAAAAGGAAGATGAGTGCATTTTTTAATCTAATAAAGATAACAATAGGAATTGAATTTTTTGCAATGTGGAGACTCGTGGGTGCCAATATGCAAAATGCAGTAACATGATATAATATGATGCATGGAAGTGGGACAAAAGGCAGCACAGTGCAAGATGCCCAATTGCCCACAGCTAATATGCCAGTACATGGATGCACACATCTAAATATGCATGCATACAGATGACTACTTGTTAATTCAACACACCTGGCATGGAAAACATCATTTCCACATAATAACTTGAAACGACAAAATAAAAGAAGAAAAACCATCACAAGAGTGGTACCTCTCTGGATTTCCATGCCATCATAGAAGTGCCTTTCCACCAGGTCTAGAAAGTTCCCTGCTGTGACAGGGGCATTGTATCCGTCTAGAACCAGGCGAAATACACAATCTTCCAAATTAGGGTTGTCTTTTACCTTAACCTTCATATCCACAGTTGCTCTCCCCTTCAAGAGTGGCATACCACTGTATTCTTCAGGTACTTCATATGGGAAACCATCCACCATGTCCTCTTCAACACTGCAATGCCCCAGGAAGATCTCAGCTGCAGTCAATAGCAAGATTATGTATGAGAAGTTTGCAGTCAATGACAAGATTATGTATAAAAAATCTCTTTTCATAGGAGTAATACCTAAAAGTCTTTGGCAAACTAACATACAATCATAGACACCAAATCACTTGAAATTATCTTCCACATGATAGAATATAAAGATCTCCAAAATTCAAAAGCAGGAGCATTAAATGCCTTATTAATTGAGCAAGGTCTCATCAGACAAGCTCAGAGGAAGCATACATTCAGAAATTACAATATAACCGAAACCAAATTTTAGCCATGAGCAACCAAACCAATGTGAAACCCACACCAATAATATATAACAAAAGCTAACATTTATCTGGGAAGAAAGAAGCATAGGCACACAAATAACCATTCAGTATGGCATGCTCTACTAAAAGTATAATATATATATATATATATATATGAAAACGTCTTCCCAACGCCTATAGGCAAAAATGAACAGTGATTTCGGCTACCCACATCACCATCCAAACTTCATCGCACCATCACAGTTGTCCGGTAGTGTTTTAATTTTCATTTTTTTCTACAAATCTAAATTACTTGAAATTTAGAGCGTGTGTACATCTGAGTGAAGCGCGCCTAATAAAAATATGCAAAAAAATAATTGGCAAAATATAAATTGATCAAAATACCCCTGTAAATTTTTGACGGTATTTTGGTCAATTTATATTCTACAAATTATTTTTTCAATATTTTTATTAGGTGCCCCTCACTAATATGTACACACGCTCCAAATTTCATATCATTCCGAGTTGTAGAAAAACAATGAAAATCGTGACCGTACGATAAA